GGAGGAGGGAGAGATGGGGTCCTCCTCGCTATCTCACCTGCAGGTAGCTGTCACCGTACTGACTGTGTCCTCTGTCGTGTGCAGGTACCCGCGTGGAGCCCAGCTATGGCCCCAGGTAAGCTCGCCGCTTGCAGGTATGGCCTCCGCCACTCTCTATCTCCCCTATGCCCTACTCTCTACTCCGTAGCTTAGCGCAGTATAGCGCAGCCTCCAACCAGCAGCGTGTCGCCCAGAAGTGAGCTACTCGAACTGTCCTCTGCCCAGCCGTGGCCCAGCTATTTGTAGCGCTGGGCGGCTGGGCCTACCTGGTGCTGTGTGGCCTAGAACGGCCCAGCGGGTCTGGGTCCCTCCCGGACGTCCAGACCCTGCTGCTGCTGTAGCATGGCGCAGAAATGTGCCTGGCCTAAGAACGGCCTCCTACCGGTGCACCTGGCCCAAGGTGTCGTCTTGGGTCCTGCAGGACCGAAACGACGCCTGTTCCTACCGGTTTGGCGCCAAAAGGCGCCTGGCCTCGTTTCGGGCCTGCCTCTGGTGTATCTGGTCCCAAGGTCCGGCCTTGGGGCTGCAAGTCCCAAATGGCACCTGAACAGACAAAAATAAGACAGCACACACACAAAAAAAAAAGGTAAGTAAAACGGAACCTATCTACCTATTGTGCTCCCTAGGGCCTGGAGGGCCGCCGTGGGCCTCTAGGGCGCGTGCTGGATGGTACGTGGCCTGGGGGCCCCTCAGCAACCGTCGGGCCCCTCAAATGGGGCCCGTGTGCAGGTGCAGCATGCAACACCCCCCCCTCCTTATGAAGTCAAGCCGGTCGGGGGCGAAGCTGACGATCGGAAGGCGGTACTTGGACGCGTGTGCGTCGTGGAGCCGAAGATGCCGGCTTGCCTTTCAACTTCTGTTCATAGCGTGCGAGAGCATCGGGGGCTGTTGCCTGAAGTTCCGCATGAGTCAGCCATCGGTCAGCTCTATGGGTGCAGTATGTGAAGTGGACCAAAAATTCAGTCGGCCTGTTGCCGTAACGTCGCTGGGATATGATGTCGCCAACCTCTTGGAAACCGTCCATCGAGGGTGGGTCTTGGGATCGTCGCCCGGGAAAGTCGTCAAGTTCCGCTGGCGTGTAGAGAGCCAACTTGGAACAGTGAAAGACCGGGTTGACGGGCAAGTGGGCAGGCACCTGAATGATGAATGAAGGTCCTTCGGGTGCGTCCCAGCGGGTGCCACGATTGGCCAGGGCCCCATCCATTTCGGAAGGAGCTTGCGAGAGATATGTTGTTCGAGGCTGAATTCCGCAGCGGAAACCCATACGAGGTCGCCGGGTGGGATGGACAAGGAAGACGCTGGCGGTTGGCCTGTTGGCGCATACGTTGCTGCGTCTTTGCCATCTGGTCACGTGCCTAAACAAGAAGCTCTTGCATCCGACGAAATGAAGAGAAGATGGTCGTCGCTCTCGGCCGCCCGTGGAATGATTGTGTCCAACGGAGAATTGACCGGCGAGCCATGCTCGAACTCAAAGGGCGACATCCTGATAGCCGGATGGATGGACGAGTTGTATGCCAACTCGACATCCGGCAACCGCTCAACCCAATCTTTCTGGTCGGGACGGACGAGAGTTCGAAGGAGGACCTGTGCGGTTTGATGTGCCCTCTCCGTTTGGCCATCAGTTTGGGGGTGGCGAGCCGAACTTGGCTTGAGGGATGAGCCCCATAGTTTGATGAGCGCCAACCAAAAATCGAACATGAACCGAGTGTCGCGGTCGCCGACGATCTCCTTGGGGTAACCCTTGGTTCGAATCCAACTGGCGTAGAGAACCTCGGCCAACTCCGGTGTCGTGGCATGATAGCGGCAAGGCAAGAACATGGCAAACTTGGTGAGTCGGTCAACCATCGTGAGAATCCCATCCACACCCGTCTTGTGCTTGGGGAACGGCCCGGTAATGTCCATGGCAATCGCTTCCCTTCGGCGCAAGGGGACCGACAATGGTCGCAGTTCGCCGTACGAACGATGATTGCGTGATTTGCAACGTCGGCAAACCTCGCATGACTCGCAATAGCGCGTGACGTCGTTGAGAAGACCGGGCCACCAAAAACGCTCGCGGAGTCAGCCAATCGTGCGATCGACTCCAAAATGCCTGGTGGCGGGGGCGTCGTGGAACTCGCCAAGAAGCCGCGTGCGCAAGTGTGAATCTTGCGGCACACAAAGTAGATCCTTCCTTCCCCCGTGAGTGAACGAGCAAGTATCCCTCTTGGATCCGATAGTGCGAAGGCGCCGGATTGGGAGAGGAACAGTTTGCGTACTTGTCGCGAAATTCGTGGTCGGCTTAATAGCTGCGGATGAAGCTGTCCCGCAAGTCATCCTCGATCTCGAAGGTTGAGTAGACCGCGGTGCAGTGGTCCGGACGCCGTAAAAGAGCATCCACAAAACGGTTTGACTTCCCTGGAATGTGATCGGGAAAGAAGTCGAATTGGTCGATGAAGGCCATCCAACGGGCGATGGTGCTGTTGACGGTGTCCTGAGACTTGTAGAAGRCCAACGGATTGTTGTCCGTTAYCYATCGGAATTGGCGTCGACCAAGGAGGAAGTGCCGCCACCGCTTGAGTGCGTGGACGAAGGCGAGAAGTTCCTTCTTGCGTGCATCATCGATTGAGTGCACGACCGACACTTTCTTGCTGAAGTATTCGACCGGGTGCCAGTCCACGCTGTCATGTTGTTCGAGGACAGCACCAATGCCATAGCCGGACGCGTCCGTGGTGACACGTGTTGGCAATAGCGGGTTGTATATCCGCAATACCTCCGCGGAGAGTAATGCGGCCTTGAGGGCCAAAAATGATTCATGCGCGTCTGTCCCGAAGTCAAACGGTCGGTCCTCGCATTGAAGCTTGGTTAAGTGAGCCGCGATCTTCGAGTACCCTTTGATGAAACGTTGGTAGTAGCCGGCAAGGCCAAGGAATGATCGGACATCCGTGACGTTCCGCGGCTCCGGCCAATCTTGGACGGCTTGAATCTTGTCCGACAACGGACTGATGCCTTGTGGAGTAGCGAAGTGGCCCAAGTATTCCAACTCTTGGCGTACGAATTCGCACTTGTCGCGGTTGGCTTTGAACTTGGCGCGCCGGAGTGTCTCCAACACTCGTCGAAGATGGTCAAGATGTTCCTCCAAGGTCCGGCTATAGACGAGGATGTCGTCCAAGTAGACCAGCACGAACTGGTTCAGCATTGCATGGAACTCGTTGGTCATCGCCGTTTGAAAAGTCGCCGGGGCGTTGGTGAGTCCAAAAGGCATGGCGACCCACTCGAAGTGCCCGTACCGTGTCTTGAACGCGGTCTTGTAGCGATCTTGCAGCCGAATCGAGATCTGATGATATCCTGACTTCAAGTCCAGTTTGGAAAAAAAAATTGTGCCGCCCAAGCGCTCCAGAAGGTCGTCAATACGAGGAAGAGGTCCCGCGTTCTTGACGGTTTGCGCATTGAGCTTGCGGTAATCGATGCATAGGTGAAGGTCCTTGTTCTTCTTCCGAACGAAGAGAACCGGCGCACCATAGGGTGAGTTGCTAGACCGGATCCAGCCTTTGTCCAACAAGTCGTCGAGCTGGGCGCGGAGTACTATAAGTTCCTCCTCGCTCATGCGATAAATGCAACCTTTTGGTGGCACGACACCGGCCTCGAGAATGATCTCGTGTGAGATCGGTCGATCCGGCACCACGCCGGTAGGTGACTCGAAGACGTCGACGAATTCGTCGAGCAACCGCACCACCCGGGGGTCTGAAGACAAGTCCGTGGGTTGAGAGTCGGCTACCACAACGGTTCGAAGAAAACATAAGCCTATCTCTTCGGTCCGCTCGTAAGCGCAAGTGGCCCGAAAAGATTTGGCTGTTACAACTTGGCACCGGATGGAAGGGTGCGGGAGAGGAATAGTACATGGTACTTCGGCGCCAAACGCACCGCGAACCGTAAGTGTCCGCCGATGGAAGTTGACCGTGTGATCCGCACTTGCAAGCCAAGGCATGTCCAGAATGATGTCGAAGTCCATGTCCAAGACGTCAAACGTCACCGGTTCGCATGCATGAGGTGCGAAATAAACCGGGACGGTTTCAATGTAGCGATCAAGGAGTTGTTGCGTTCTTCCGTCCACCAACTTGATCGACGTAGGGTGTGCCTTCCTTCAAACTTGTGTTCCAAGGCCGGCCCTTTGCATGAAGGATTGGCTAATGAAGTTGCGAGTCGCGCCGCTATCCAGCAAAGCGCTGCAGGATGCTTGCCCGATTTGGATGCGGACATAAAGGAGCGGTGCGTTGTTGTCATCGTACCACTGCGTGCGAAACTCGCGGGCCACCTTGCTCACATACGCAAGAATGTCCCCCACCGCGACTTCGTCCTCCGTCGGCGAAGTTGGTGGTGCATAGAAGGCTAGGTATGTATGGAGATGAGCGCTAAGAGTTGTGCATTGCGGCTCGTCAACGGGTCCAAGTCGTCTATGTTGAACGCTCGCGCCGAATCCCGTGAAGGTCCACTTGAAGACGACTCAATGCCGCTGCTTCCGATCGGAGAAGAAACCGCACGTACATCCTGTCCTTGGGTTCGTAAATTCAGCGAAGGTACGAGCCGCGCAGCATAGTCCTCGAAGGAATAAAGAATGGGAGGACTTACAACGTCCGCATGTGCCCTGGAACCGAGGGAGGTTACTCGTACGGCAACCGGTTCCGTAGGCGCCGAGAGTGTCGCATCACTCTCGGCGGTGCTCACTTTCCCGACTGGGCGGTACCCTTGGCCTTCGTGGGACAGCTCGCTGTCTCATGTGCTGAGTTGTTGCACCACAAGCAATAGTGGTACTTGGTGCGGACGCGGTACCCGCGCTCTGTAAGCCCGTACGCTGTCCAAGGTCCTTGCTCTTGAGCTGCTTGCCCGGGCCCAGAAGAAGTAGTGGTGTTCGTCTTCGTCTTGCCGCGTCCTCGGCCTTTGCCGGGGCGGCCACCATTCTGGGCAGCTGCAAGTCTGTCTCCCTTGTCAGACGAAACAGCCTCGTTTAGAATTGAAGGGTCGCTAGGCGTTGCTGCTGCGACCACGGCCACTTTCGGCCGATGCTGATGCGCGCCCTGGTCGGCAGTCGACGAGTGGCCCGTATTCCGGGCTGCCAAATTCGTCACGATGATCTGCGCGGCTTTGTTGAAGAGTTCCTCACTTGTGTTGAGGTTCTCGGCAACTTGAGTTAACGCATTCTGCAACGCTGGGCATGACCTCTTGATGAAGTAAAGCTTGATGCCGTCGAAGTTCATCGGCAACTTGGGTGTGCTTGCCAGCCGTTGGAACTCAGATATCCAGTCTCCGCTTGGCATGCTGTTCTGCAAAAACGTCAGCAGCTTGTCCATCGCCTGGTGCTCGGGCGGTTCTACTTGGAAACGCTTCTTCCATGTCGCCGTGAGATCTGCCCAGGTGATGTATTTGTGCAACTCGGTGACTGTACATGGATGTGCGGACAGCATGTTGTCCAACCATGCCTGACACGCTCCTCCCGAGCGGGAGTACAAGTATGCCTGCCGGTTCGCGTCGATGACGTGGTGGATGTCCAGCTTGAGTTCAAACTGGCGCCACCATTGGATGGGGTCGGTCTTCGATGCGTCACAGAAGATCGGGAGCCCATCGAACTTGGCAATAGTTTCGTGTGTCGTTGCGCTAGGGTCGGCCGCTGCAGAGACCTGTTGTTGCAGCTGCTGTGCCCCAGTCTTAAGTGTTCCCACGTCTATCTCCAAGACATTGACGCGGTCGACGAGATCGGAGGGGCCGACGCTGGTGTTGTCGGTGGCGACCTGCTGCTCCAGCTGCTGTATGCGCTTGAGCATCTGGTCCACCGACTGCTGTAACACCTTGTTGGTGTGGTCGAGGGAGTGGATGTCCTCCTGCTGCTGCAAAGTTGCAAGGAGGTCCGTGACACGGTTGAGCAGATGAGATACCCTGCTCCCGTAGTCGACGGATTCGCCGCTCTCGGCCTTCCTCTGCCAGTCCTTGGCCTGTGCATGTAATGCACCTCCTCCCTGAATATGACTTCGCGTCGCCGCACACGTTCTTCATCAGCGGCCTTGGCTGCTGCTGCCGCGTGCTTCTGTCGCTGTTCTTCGGCCAGAAGACGCAGTCTCTCTGCCTCTGCTTCTCTCTTCTTCCGTGCTGCCGCTGCCGCTTCTGCCTGTTGCTTGCTTTTGGCTATGATGGCCGCCAACCGTGCCTCATAGGCCTCGTCAGACTCACCTGCTTTCTGATCCATAACTACTGTCTGCGAGCGAGTAAGTATGGTCATGCGATGCAGGTTCCTGACGTTGCCTGCCGAAGTGAGGACTTACCCAGTCTGCAACTGCAAGTGAATGGGCAGTTAAGAAGGACGGAGAAGGGGATGAGGAGTTGGGGTGGAGAGAAGGGGAGTGGGCAATCGAATGGGTCGCCTAGATATGGAGCCACTAATCAAAAAAAAATTGGAACTTTTGCAAAGATTTCGAAGAAAAAAAAAATTGAATTTGCAAGTTCGGTGGACCCCTCAAGTATCCCCTCAGCAGTTAATTCGAAAAAAAGAAAAAAAATTCGAATTTCAGACTGCAAATGAATCAAAATATCAAATGGAGATGATGAGGGTAACTGGACTGCGAAAACAGAAAAAAAGAACAACGATTTCCGTAGAAGAAGAAGAGGAGGAGAGGAGGAAGAAGAAGATGAAGAAGAAGAAGCGAGGGAGGAGGAAGAAGAAGATGAAGAAGAAGCAGCGAGGGAGGAGAGGACGAAGAGGAGGAGGAAGACCAAGAATTTGAAGAAGAAGAAGAAGACGAAGAGGAAGAAGCGAAGGAGGAAGAGAAGAAGAAGACAAAGCGAGG